GCATTCTTCCCTGCCTATGCAGGGGGTCAGACTCATTGAGTCTGATCCATTGAGGTCCCTTCTGACCCTAATATCTATGAATCTATGAATCAACAGGCCTAGTTGAAGAGGTCCTGTTGCTGAAAGGAGATGAAGCCAGTCCTTCAGAGGGAAAGAAACTGTATGCAGGGCAAACAGCTTAATAAAATTGATATTTTTTTCAAATTTCAATCAGCAATATGAAACTACTTCCATACAGATGGTTATAGACTTTAATATTACTCCTGAGCATGTGTTAGCAGTTTGTGACCCATCAAGCCATAGATAAATTGTTATTCAAAATGGGTGTGTCTGCACATGCATTTGATTCGGGAGCAGTTTACTTATGAGTAAACGTGCAGGGAAGCAGGAGCAGATTTGCTGCTAATGGCAGAAAACTACTCCCACTTCCTGGGGTCCTGCAAGGCCAGGGGTGCTAGCCTGGGTCTGGCCCGGGGGTTGGAGTGCTAGCCAAAGAGCTGGCAGGGAGCACCAGGACCAGCTGTCTTCTGGCCAGGGCTGGGACATTGCACCCTGCCCCTAGAGGGCTGCCTGCTGCCCAGGGCAGGGCCAAAGTTGCCCTGCCACAGCAGCAGGGAGCTCCTGGCCCTGGATCCCCAGTCAGGGGCACGGGACTTAGAAAGAACTACAAGGGAGGGGCAGGTCCCAGTCCTCTGACCCAATATGCTAGTGGAGCAGCTAGCTCACTGCTAGCTGCCCCGCTGACAGATCGAGGCAGGTGGCTGGGACCAACCCCACCCTTGCAGCTCTTTTCAAGACCTGGGCCTCAATCACCTGATTGGGGCACAGGGCTGGGACCTGCTCCTGACCAGGACAGGTACCAGCTCCCGCTCCACTCAGCAGTCAAGGAGCTGGGTGGGGGCTCCCCAGTCCCTGCCAGCAGAGAGCTCCCAGTGCCAGCTCCACAGTCACAGGGCCAGTGCTGAGAGATCCTTGTCAGCTCACTGTGTGTGTTGTTTCCTGTCTCTCTGGCTCATGTAGTGACTTGCCACATGGACTGCTCTGATCTGGAGAATTAAAGCATAAGGATCCTTATCTTCCAGTGCTTGGGCTGGGAGATAAGGATCTCCCATGTCAGCCCTGCTGTCATGCAGCTGGAGCTGGGAGATAAGGATCCCCCAGGCCCCTGCTCCCCAACTGTGATCTTGGAAAGTGGGGCTTGGAGTTCCCTAGGGGTCATAGTCCCTACCCAGGCTCCAGTGGCCAAGCCTGCCTTGGCAGCAGGCAGCTCCCAAGGGCAGGAAGCAATCTCCTGTCCCCTGGTGGCCAGCTGACAAGCAACAGATTTGCTCCCTGTCTGGCATCTACATGAGTGCTACCTTGCAGTAAGAAATCACAAGTAAATTTGCTACTTGCATTTCCAGGTAGCATATTTACTTGTGATTAGCAAGGTTTCCTGCACAGTTAGCGTGTGCACATGTAGACGCACATTCTTACTGTGTAGTAAACTACACTACTACACAATAAATTATCTCATGTAGACACACCCAATGAAGTTAAGTAGAAACTAGCAGAATAGAGCAGGATAGCAGGACAAGAGAACCATCTCTCAAAGCTAATCCAGATTCAGACAAAGCATTTAATTTTAGCATATTGTTCAGGTTATAAATTGGTTTTATCCCTACCTCAAGAAGAACCATAAACATAGCAGACTTATACATGGGGTCCAACTATAATCAGAATGATATGGTTCTATTTTATGGAGTCAATAACCCTATATAATACCTTTCAGAGCCAGGTATTGTGACCCTTAATGGTGCCATGCAAGATCATCTGCTTGGCTGCCATGATAACAGAGCAGATGATATTGCACAACACTCTTAAGGGCCTGCCACTGTGGTTGTTAAGGGTGTCACATAGGGTGCCATCATAGTGGTGAAAGGATGTTACAAAAAATGGGTGACCAAGGTCACCATCACTCTGTAATTTCTGGGGATCTCCTTGGTCTGCTCCACCACTTGTACCATAAAGCTAGGAGTTCTGACATACTAAGCGCCTGGTACCTATTACATCTGAGGCTTGAGGCTTTCAGACTACTGGCTTCACTGTAGGAAACAGGGAGCTGGGATGCCTTAATTCTCCAGATCAGGGCAGTCCATGTGGCAAGTCACTACTTGAGACACTGAGACGGGAAACACCACACACAGTGAGCTGGCAGGAAACATACAGCAGTGCCTCAGAAGTACATATTTTAGCAGAGTGGATATTCAATATTTAAAACCTATTCTAGTTTTTAAAGTGGCCATTTATTATTTGGAACATACTTGGGATCCTGAAAATGTAAACCAAAATGTTTGAAGCGGAATTTAAACTATTTAAAAGACACTAATATGTTTCATTGTTCTAAAACACAGATTAGCTAGATGTACTCTTTTCACACTTTTAGGGACTGTCAGATCTGAGCTGATCACTGCACATAACAGTAGTGTGTTATTTGATTTGCCTATGGGATTTTGAAAAGATAATAGAGGTTCAAGGACTTTATCTATACTTATCAGTATGTATCTGGGTGGGAACAAGCTATTTTTCTTAAAATTGAATCTTAAAAAGGGGGGAGGAGGGGTCAACTTTTACAGGGTCAATTATAGGTAGAACAATATATTACATAAGAATGAAGGAATTGGGAAAGGTAAGTGTTTCTTTGAGACAGAAAAGATGAGTTTTACTCTGCACACACAGTCAAATACTTCTATTTCATACTTTCCTCTTGTGTCTCTTGCAAACCTTCTTGGTGTCGCTTAGAGTTCTTTGGGAAGTCCTTTGAAGAATTATGTGGCAAAAAGGGGTTTGAAATATGAATTTATTTATCTTGCAAAAGAAGTCAATGTTCTGGAATTCTCTGCTTTATTTTCCCACTTCCTTTTAGGCATCAAGCCTGCAACTCCAGAGATGTTATCAGCAAGTCTCTCCCAGAGTCGAATTTTACAGACATGCAGCATGCCCCATCCCAATGTGGTAAATGGAGTTGGCACTCTACAAAGCAAGTCCTTTTACTTAGTCTTCTTTTTTTCCCTTTCACTTCTGGCAAATCTTTTTGCAGCCATACTATAAGGGACCTAACAAATGTATTAATGTTAGAACCTCTATTAAACTTCTGACTCTGGAAGATTTACATTTAAGCAATGAACAGCACAAGAAAAGCATCAGAAAAAGGATGAAAAGGGTTGGGGGAGGGAACCTGGTATTGTTTGGATATTGGGATGGGATTCAGGAATTCTGGATTCAAATCCTGAGTCTGTCACAAGCTTTCTGTGCGCCTTCCGGGAAATCACCTAGACCTCAATCCAAAAGTTACTTATGCACCTCTGAGGAGCCCTTTGAGTACAGAGAGATAGTTAGCCATCTTAGTCAGGCAAAAGACATGGCAGGGTGGCACCTTAAAAACTAACTTATTCAGAAAGGCATAAGCTTTTGTAAGCTATAGTGTATTGCATCAGATGCTATGGATGAACTTGCAGACAGGAAGAGTACTAAATAAAAAGGAGTTAGGTAATTTAAATACAAAGGACAGGACAAATGGAGGAAAGGATAGGGGGATGGGTCAGTGCTGAGAGGTGAAGGTGTGTTAAAGAGATCAAAAGGGATTAACAAAGCACAGAGGAACACACAGGGGGTTATAAAGGTTAGTCCAGGCAATGAAATAAGAATCCAGAGTCTTTGTTGAGACCATACTTCACTGGTTTGTGCCCCTTTTGATCTCCTCAACCTACCTTCTCTCTCAGAAGTGCTTCCTCCCCCTAGACTTCCCTCCTCCTTTTCCTATCCTTTGTAATTAAATTATTTTATTCCTTTAATATCTCTGCTCTCTGCAAGTCCATTCATAGCATCTGACAACATGGGATATAGCCAATGAAAGCTTATGCCTCTGATTTCAGTGGGGGGTGAACTACCTAGTACTTTAAGAAATATCTTGCTCTCTTTTGTTTCCCATCTGTAAAAAGCATTGCATATTTCTTGGGCGGGGTTCCCCTGTGCTTTATCTGCCTTGTCTGTGACCTGAACAGTCTGCGTGTGTGCTTGTTCATGCACATGGTGCCTAGTAAGAAAGAACATTAATCCTGATTAAATGACACATTTTGTTCTAATAGGAGTGAACAAAAATCAGTACATTTGTTTTGTCCTAAAGTTGAAATAATTGTGAATATCGTATAACAGTCTAGGGAACATCCTGCCTTTCCTCAAATAAATATCCCATTGAATCAAACCCATATAGAATCCAATCTGAACAATAAATATAGTAATCTGTTAAAAAGTATTAATCTGTTAAAGAGTATTCTTGGTACCAAAACAAAAGGACTGTAGGCCAAATCCTAAATAGGTGTGGGTTGATAAATCTTTTCACTTCAATGAAGCTATGATTTTTTGCAGCATTTAAGGATCAAGTCAAATATCCATGTGCCTAAGGTATTTAAAATGCCCTACTTATGCATCTGAGCGCAGCCTCCATGCCTGTGGAAAAGATTAGTGCTATAATTTCCTTTCTACACCTGGAAAACTGATGTAAAGAGTGACCGCAGGTTCCATGCTGATGTCCTAAATTCTAGGCCACCCTTCCTCTCTGTTCTGTAAGATTACAAAGCTGAACATGTTTTCAGTGCACTATTGGAGTATAATTGTATTGGGTTTTCTTTTTGGCTTCATGCAGGTAGCCTGACTCCTTGCCTTTATAAATTCCCTGAACATGCCCTGAGTGCCAGTTCCTGTGCTCTGAGCCATGGCTTCACACCCATGCACCAGACTATTCTTGGAGATGATCCAACCACTACTGACTTCAAGCAGGAATTCCGTAGAAAACCCAAAACTGTTGAAGAGCCAATAGATATGGATTCCCCTGAAATCAGGGAACTGGAGAAGTTTGCCAATGAGTTCAAACTCAGGAGAATTAAACTGGGTATGTATTTTCTGACAGATGACGACAGCTAGAAAAACCAAATGAAAGCCCAAGTGTTTCTGTATGTTTCATCTTCTAATTTAATATACCTTATAATATGCTAGGCCACCTTTGGCAAGGTTTTCCCAAGTCTGGAAGATTTTTATAGAATTAATCAGGTCATTTTTTTTTGCAGATTACTGCAGTCAATATTTTAAGATTTTTTGGTGCACATAGTACTCCTGGTTTTCCCACCGAGAGAGAGCAAATTGTTAGATTAGCTTTATTCTGGTGGGGAGATGTATGATGCATCATAAACTCGAGCTTTTTGCAACTTCCTACAGTAAATGATGTAGTCCCTTGTCCCAGTTCTCTTTCCCATGACATGCTCTATTACACAAGGTGATGCCATATCACCTCACTATGGGATAATAGTACTGCCAACTTACACACTCCAGACCTCATGGGCATGAAGTCTGGTGCATGTAAGTTGGCAGTACTGTTATCTCTTATTTGATATACTTAACCATGGGTGTGCATAGTGGTGACCTTATTTTGTTACCATCTGGTGGCTACTAGGGAATATGTAAAATGAATGAATAATTTCATGTTGGTTCCTGGTTAATAGATACCCACGTCATATCTGCTGGTAGCCTCAGGAAAGTACAAAGGTTGAATGAACGTGATTGCTGGATTATCTCTTGTCCTCTAGAGATTTCTTCCCCCCTAGAACAAGGTTGAAGGACACCAGGAAAGCAGTGTGAGGAAGCTTATCCTGTACCTTCTGTGCTATATTGAAAAATGACTTTTGTGTGTTGAGCACTGCAAATACAGAATCTTAACAAGTACAAAATCTTTATGGATTAAGAGTCATATTCTTGGCTTTATCTTCTATAACAATATATTATATCATTACAGAGTATTCCATTTTACTGTAAATTCAAATGCTATAAAATCAAGTAATTTATGAGACTTAGAAGCATCTGTGTATTACTTCTGTGCCTAGAGAGATATTATCTTCCAGTTACAGTACAGAAATGAGGACAAGAGTGGGAATCTGTTTGGAAAATTATTTGCAGTTGCTGTATATTATGACTATTTAGTTGTCAGTCAGAGAATGGGCAAGATTTTCAGAACCCAAGACTGTTTCAGAGGTAATTATTCACAGTGGTCTACTTCTAAATACACATAAGAACAAAATTCCTACTAAATGAAATAGGACTCCAGCATTGGGTTTAGTGCCATTTCTGATAAACTTGTGATGTACACAAGAAGCCTAATAAGTGGATAATGACCTGCTAGGCAGAATCTGACACCATGCGTAGTGCCGACAATATTTGCTGAAATCGGTAAGCATGCTCTTGGCACCTCTCAGGAGATATTCAGTACCTTGTAAGACTGGCCCAGTTGGAGAAGGAGGGAAAGAAATTCAGGGTCATGTCTTGGAGTATGGCAAAGTATACTCAATGGATTTTGGAGAACCCACCCTGACCCTGAATTTGTTGTGTACTTGTATATCTAGGGGCTGCACTAGCCCCCCAAAAATCCCACACAGGGCCAAAGTTGCAGCCATACGTTGCCTCAGTGCATATGCATTCTGACTATTCCTGCTCTTCCCTGATATTCTAGTAGCTGGGCAAGGTGGTAGAGTCACCTTTTCTGGTCATCATAGGAGCCCTGTGTGTACCGGTGTGATCTTCCAGTGTCTGGCTAAATCAACTCTCAGGTCTCTCTCTCAGGTCTCTCTCTCAACCCTCGGGTACGATGCAAGTAGGCATGAATCTGCACCCATGAATCGTTCTGAAATCTATTCCAAAAGTAAGGTCATGTTAAGAAGAGGTTAAGAAAACAAATGTTAGAGAATCAACAAGATGAGTAATATCAAGACAAAAGTGATGGGTTTTCTTTAAGCAGACAAAGTTCTTTGGGTAAAATCTGAGGTTTTTCTTTAAGAATTTTTTTTTTGTCTTCTGAAAATCTTTGTGTAAGTCTTTTTAGACACAGTCTTCTCAGTCTTTTTAGACACAAAACACCCTCATTAGATTTAAAGGTACACCTCAGAAAATGCCAGTTCTCAGCTTTAACTCCTTTTCTGACTACAGGGAAATAAAAGAGGAATTATTTGGTTGCAAAGAATTCAGGGTCATAACGAGTCAATGTTTTTGACAGTAGAAATTCCTATTTGAAGCCTTTGGGTTTATCTTGTGAATGATATGCAGATGGTTGCAAAGCTAATTGTGCTACTGTAGTCCAGTGCCCCACAACGGTCTTGCAGCACTCAAGTTGAATCACAGCTGTAACTTTTAAGTTTGACCAATATCTACAAAGTCTGAAAAATCTGAAGTACACACTAAAACCCTCAACTGATGGTTAAGTTCATTCCTGGAAACAGCAATGGAAATGATAAGTTTTACCTTTTTCTGTGCATAATGGTACTGTCTAGAGGCTCACTCAGGGATCAGGGTGCCATTGAGCTAGGCACTGTGCAAATATATCCAGTAATAGAAAGCTCCTTCCCCAAAGAATTAACAACCCAGGTATGTAATGAGAAACTGCAGCTGGACACAACAATCAAACTTGGTTTGAAAATGATTCCTGTAATAAGTGATTACAATAATTAATTTTGAGAATGAATGTGATTATTGAGAATTAAGCATAAAGCACAAGGTTGGGTTTTTGTTAACTCTTTTTGTTTGCTCATTTGTTTTTTTTTTATGGCCTTAAACAGACCTCTGACATTTAAAGTAAAATCATAATTCTCTGTGAGGAATTCTACAGAGTCTCACTTGATGAAATTTGTAGTAAATGTGCAGTCAGCAGTGACCCTACATACATCCTGTAGTGGTCAAATACCACTGTTTAATAACATGCAGAGGGAAAGTTTGTCCCTGGAAGCGTACCCAGGATTCTGTCCCAACTATACAGTTGTTCCAAGAAAAGAAAGCACAAAAACCCCTTGCTTTTAATAACTAAGGCACTGGGTTCTGATTCTTTTCCCAGCTCAGATCTGTAACTTGTATAACTCAACTGAAACCAAGGGAGTTTCACAAGCATGAAACTGATATGAGATCAAAAATGGGCTAGTGAGCATCATCAGACACCTCGGATTGAAGGACACCATCTACAAAGAGATTTTGTCCATAACTGCTAATCATCACCCTCCCAGTAGAAACCACTAGTATACAAGCATTTATGCTGTTTCTCCTGGACTAAAAATAACAGTTCCAAGAGAAAAAAAAGCTCAGTTCCAATCAGGTAGAAGTGGATCCCAGGAGAGTTTTTCCCAGGAGATGAACACTTGTACACTTCCCCAAGGCTTAAGTCCTCCCAGGGACCAGGTGGAGCAGATTTGCAGGGAAAGGTTCCTATGCCTTGCAGGGTCACCCCGGTCTTGAGAAGGCATAAGGGCAGCAGCTCTCACTTCTCCTGGGCAGTGGGAGACAAACATTGGGAGTGGAGGGGAGCAGCAGCTACTGGTCCCTGCCTCTTCCCCTGAAGTCTGCTGTTTGGGAAAGAGGCTGTGGGGCTTTGCTGTCTCCCTCTCGCTTCCCATTGCTGCCTCTTTATCCTGGGCAGTATTGCAAAGCCCAGGGATTGGGAATTGGGCTCAGGAAGACTGTTTCCAAGCCTAGTTCTCAGCCCCCAGGCTTTAAATGCTGTCCCTGCCACCCAGCTGGGGAGTTGGGGCATGCATTGCAAAGGCCAAGGATCAGGGATTGGGCTCAGGGTAAGACTTGCAAAGTCCCTCAAGTCAGGAACTGGCCTCACAGACTTTAAATGGTGTGTGTGCTGCTTGGCTGATGGCACACACACTGATTTAAAAGCCAGAGAGCCAGGACTAAGGTTCGTGGAAGGTACCCCTGGCCCTACTTTCCTGCTTTTAGTCAGCCCATGTGCAACCATTCTGGGGTGCGTTAAAATGGAGGGGGCTGTCTATTGACAGCCTATGTCCTTCCCAGACAGGGGAGAGGACAGGCTGTCAAGTAATGGGCTCCCCTAAGGGTGGGGGTGGCCTAGGGAGTCCACTTCTCAGTGGCTGGTGAGCTTGCCTCTGTAGTTCTCCTGCTGGGGGGCTGGAATTTCAGAAAAATTCTTACTGCTAGAAATAAACACCTGTATGTGGCTTGAGTTTGCATTTTGTATTCCTGAAACCAGCACACTAGTAAAAATTGCATTCTCCCTGGAAAATAAGTTGAGCAGAGAGAAGAGCATAGATATGCGCCGCCCCCCCCCCCCCCCCCGCAAGTTTGTTTTCAGAGTATTAACAAATGGCTATGTGACTTAATACAAGTCAGTCATAGTAGAAAACTTAAGGTTTCTAAATTTTTTCTTTATTACTTTATGACAGGCTATACACAAACAAATGTTGGAGAAGCCCTGGCTGCTGTGCATGGCTCTGAATTCAGTCAAACGACTATCTGCCGATTTGAAAATTTGCAGCTGAGCTTCAAGAATGCCTGCAAACTGAAATCAATACTGTCCAAGTGGCTGGAGGAAGCAGAACAAGTAGGAGGTAGGTATTTGTAACACCTATTTTCATACCTGAACAAGAATCCCTTTGATGACTTCCCTTGGTCAAGCTTTTTGTTTACCTGTTTAGTGTTTGAACATGTAGTATTTATATTAAATTCAGTAAGGTCAAATGACTTTTTTTGGTAATGGAGAAGAAACCTGTTAGACCCACATGAAGATACAGAATAACAGTTGAACCAAATGGAATTTGAAGATGGTACAAGGATGGTACTATTCATAAGATACAAATAACTATGTTGTACTATTTATCAAATATCTGACTAGACCTCTTATGTGTACACCATGATCCAGAGGATTGATGATTGCCTATCAATAGTACAAAGTGCTAATTTATGTGCATGGTACCCAGAACTTCTGCTGTAAAATAGGAGTCAACAGCTTTCTGGTGATGAAGGAAGAGAGGGACCTGGGTGTATTGGTTGCAAGATGGCTACATGCTATTGATGCATACCATGAATTGATGTACACCATGATGCATTAGCCTTTTTTTTTAATGCAGCCAAGAAAAAAAGGCTAATGCAATTCAAGGCATATTAAGTTGATTATTTGTAGCAGGTGCAAGGAAGAATTAGTAGTACAGTAAAAATCATGTGTAAGACTCTGCTTAGAATACTGTGTACATTTCTAGTCGTACAGTTCTTGTCTATATTAAAAAATGAATATTAAGTTGGAACAGGTGCAGAGGAGGACGACTAGAATGATTAGGGGAATGGAGAACTGATTTTGGTGCTTGGGAAGATCTTGGAGAGAATCATCAAGGAGCACATCTGTGGGGGGCCTGCAGGGGAGATTATGCTCAGTGCCAATCAGCATGGGTTCACCAAAGGCAGGTCCTGCCAGACCAACCTGATTGCCTTTTATGACCAAGTAACTAAATCCTTGGATGATGGTGTCACTGTGGACATAGTCTTTCTAAACTTTAAGAAGGCCTTTGACACTCTCTCTCACCTCATCCTCATCAACAAATTAAGTGACTGCAGCATTGATGCCTGCACAGTTGGATGGGTAAAAAATTGGCTGATGGGGCGCACCCAGAGGGTAGTGGTGGATGGGTTGTACTCAACCTGGTGAGTTGTGAGCAGTGGGGTACCCCAGGGCTTGGTCCTCGGGCCCGCACTGTTTAACATCTTCATCAGTGACTTGGACGAGGGGGTAGAAAGCACGCTGTCCAAGTTTGCTGATGACACTAAGATGTGGGGCGAGGTGGACACACTTGAAGGGAGAGAGAGGCTGCAACTAGATTTAGACAGACTACAAAAGTGGGCAGATGAGAATAGGATGGGGTTCAACGTAGACAAA